ACTACCCTACCATAACTTATAAAACTCGAGACTCGAGTTAATGATTATTAATGTCTATATCCATAGTCAATTTATGTGTCACATAAGACATAGTAAACTATATTAAACTTTTAGACATAATCAATAACCTACTTCAATATAATATGTTAAAAACTAATAAAAATGTATAATATTATCTGAATCATACTAAATCTTTTTTTTCTTATACATTTATAAAAATAGGTGATCTTGCTTTAACATTAAATAAATATTTTTTACACATTATAAAGGTATTAAGGTATAATGGTAGTACATTGGTAATTTGTATGATCCCTAACGWATTTCACTCTAAGTGACTATGTACTACTTTAACATATTATACCAGTACCTACCCATTTGTACCTATGAAAGTGATGCATTTTGAATTAGTTTACATTAACGTTCACCACCCGAGTGTAAGCATATTATTATGTTATATTATACTTAAATATACTTTTATATAATTATACTAGCTGACCCGGCTAACGTTTTTTTGCCATATAAATTATTTATAGTGAATATTTTGGTAGTCAAAATAGCTACTCCTGGTTGATCCCGTGTACTTCGTTGCTCATAAAAAATGACAACTCTTAACTCTTTAAACGTTTAAACAATTGTGGTTGTTATTTTGTTAAAATCATTTTGGATGTAACTCGCAGCAGTAATTGCAATGCAGCGACCCTGGTAGGAAATCCTACTACTTCGGATCGCGGACAATGTGCGACAGCATATCAAATAGGCAATAGCTGACGCTTGACACCGTCGATGAACGGCTATAGCCTATAAGTAAGGCGACAATCCTATTTAATGCATGCTTGCGGTAAACCAACAGTAGCGTAAACAGGATTTTAGTTCGGTTATGGTTTTATCTGAGTAAATAATTTGCATTATTTTTTACTTAACTATAGGTAACTAATTATAGTTATAGTCTCAAATTTAGTCTAAATGTACAGTGTTGAACCTGGTCATCAGCTATAGAGCCTCCTCGGCCCATAATAAACGTGGTAATAATTGATGAACGATAATACACCATCGATTATGGCAGATCGCAGACGTTATTATAAGTTATGTTCTAAATCAGTCAAAAAAAAAAAAAA